GCTATAATGTAATTATCTTAATCTTCACTATCGTTACTTTTTGCCCAGCGAAGCTGGTCCTTGCAGCTAGATTCTAGATTACTTAGAAAAACAGTTTTTTATATATATATATATATAAAACTATACTATTACATACAAATAATAACCCAGCGAAGCGGGATCTTGCAGCTAGTATATTATATTATAATAATGTAAGAATGGATAATCAGTGGCTAACTGGCTATCAGTCTTACTAGTTTTCTTATATAGGCTCTACATATCAGTCTGTAGTTATTTATAAGTACAGTGGAACCTCAGTATACGACCTTAATCCGTTCCTGATGTTTGGACTGATACCGAATAGGACGTATACCAAACCAACCTTTCCCATAAGAAGTAATTTAAATATGATTAATCCGTTCTCATGTAGAAAAAATGGCTGGCTTTAAACACCTCGCTTTCTTGGCTAGTTCCTGCTTGATTTTTCTTGAGATCAGCGTGTATCTTTCTAGCTTTCTCGCAAATAATTGCTTCCGATACGCTGTCTCCAGCACTGTTTTTCAGTTATCCAAAGCAAAAGCAATTTCTCGACATGATGTAATGTCTTCGATATCTGTTTAGAAATTGAATTAACCTCTTTCGCAACGTTAGTAGATTTAATAATGTCTTTATTTTTCACGATTGTCGATATCGTTGTTCTCGGAATACGGTAGGAAACAGTTAAATCTCGAACACGCGTGCCACCTTCGTATTTCTCAACAATCTCTTTTATCAGTTCCATTGTGATTCTAGTCATTTTTTATTAGTTTTCTGTTGCTTTTCATTAGCCTTTTTGAAATTCATCATTAATTAAAATAAGAAAATTTTACTTACAAATTAAAATCAGAAGAAATTTAGCAAAGTTATAAACCGTGGCACCGCGAACGTCTAGTCCGGTCCAGTACACCGATAGTGCTACTTGTTCATAGATGGCGCGTATAATTGAATTACGTCGTATACCGAACAAAAGTCGTATACCGAGCAAAATATGTTTCGTCTAAACAGGACGTATTCCGAACTGGACGTATTCTAAAGCAGACGTATACCGAGATACCACTGTAATTTAACCACTTATAGAATAAAAATTAAATACTCTTACTTAATAGAATTAGAGAAGAAGTTATAAAATATCAGTCTTGTCTTGAATAAAGTATTTTAAAGGATTAAATAAAATTAAATCAATCACTTATCTTTTCGTGTTATTTTTTTATTTCATATTATTTTTTATCATCAAATATGTTATTGTTATCAAATATTTCTTTGTCATTTAACATGTTATCATGTTATTTTTTTTACTTTTCTGGAAGTAGGATCTCAAAAAACAAATAGTATTAATGGTGTTGTCTCCCAACCTACTTCTTAATGTACTGCATATATATCCCGCTGCAAAGAAGGCCTTTCAGCCTCTACGCTAGTTGGTTTCAGGGTCATCAAATAATTATAAATCAAAGATAAGTTTTCACCTCTGACTCCCTCATTTTCATAAACAGCCATTTCATTTTTTAATAACTTATCATAATCCTTCTCAGTACTAGTTTCTTTCCGTTTCATGAAGTTTTCTTTCTCACGCTTTAGTTGGATCTCCAATTCTTGTTCCAAGNTCTTTGTTTTTTCTAGATAAAATATTATACAGTTGACCCCCCTATAACACTGTTGATTATTCCATTTTATATGAATTCCATGTTGTACAAGTCACTTTTACAAATAGGTGTGCCAGGCTGTGAACGGTTCACTTATTTGTAAAATCTAAGTGACTCGTACAACATGGAATTCATATAAAATGGAATAATCAACAATGTTATAGGGGGTTGACTGTATCTGTTAATATTTATTATACCTAATAATAAAGAATGACTATTAAAAATATAATAAAATAACAGTTATTAGAATTATCAATCTTGTTTCTTAGAAATATAAAATAAAAAACTTTTTATATTAAATATACTGTTTAATATATACTATTTTTATAAGTAAATCTTACCTGATTGATCTTCAGTAGTATCTGCTTCAATAATTTGATTGTCAAACCACATATGTGCTACGGTCATTCTATTTTGTGTCAATGTACCAGTTTTATCTGAACAAATAGTTGATGTTGATCCTAAAGTTTCAACAGCTTCTAAATTCTTTACTAGGCAATTTTTTGAAGCCATGCGTTTTGCTGTTAGAGTTAAACATACCTGCAAAAAATTAATTTCATTTGATTTTCATATTAATAAAATTTTCATATCAATTATAATACCATTTTACTTGAGTTTTACTTGTTTAAAGTTAGAATTAACTTAAAATTTTATGCAAATTAGGCAAAAACAATGATGACGATTAATAATTACATAAATTTTATATATTGGATTGTTCGGAAAGTAAGTTAGTTTTTTTCCCGTGGAAAAAAACGCAATATTCTTATAATAAATAAATATTTTATTGAATTATATGTTGACCATTTTGATCAACATTTTATCTGTTGTCATCGTTTCTGGTAGTAGCACGATTTCACATTCATAAAAGTTTTGATCGTTGCTTACAAAAAACTAACATGTTTTGTGATAAAATGTGAATCACTTGTGTTTTAGTGTTCATGAATCATGAAAATAAAGAAATGACGAAGACAAGCTCAGTGAATATTGGAGATTTTGGCTCCAGTCGTAATGAATACTGGTTGCACAATGTTGGTAGTGGTGGATCCAAGTGATTTTTGACATTGTCATTTCAAGTAAATGTCATACAGTTAAAAAAAATTGTACAGACCGGAACAAGTAATAATCTGTGTGTGTGCTCGATCTGGCAAATACAGTTGGTGTGATAGCAGTTGGTGAATACATTTGGTGCATCTTCAATACTGAAATTGCGAGAACAAAATTTTGTAAACCAGTTTTGGCACTGTCGTTTTGTCAACACATCTCCACCATACATGTCACATGATTTTTTTCTTGCTTGAACAGTATTTTTATTTTTATGGTAATAAAAAAGCAAAATATGCTGAAGATGCTGCTTTCGATCTTCCATATTTGATGGGACACAAAAAATAAACAATTGCACAAAATCAAACAAAATTTTTTACAAATAAGCCATAAAATGCCAGCTGTCAAAATATATAATGATAACATGGTTTAGAACGAAAATGGCGGAAAAATACCACTAATCCGTCTAGTGGTAAAAAAAACGAACTTACTTTCCGAACAACCCAATAATATATATTCAATTAAATGTCTTTATATTTTTTAAAACATGCCAAATCATTTACCTAACTTTCTTATTCTCAATTACATAATTTAACCAAATTGCTTTGTATGGAATAAAGTGAAAAAATTTTATTGTTTATTATATTAATATTTACAGTCGACCCCCCTATAACATGGGTTCCTATAGTTCGGATTCCTATATGACGGCGAAAAAATTGCGACGGTATCCGTACAAACATGGTAAAAAACTCCTATAATTCGGTAAAACGTCATCGGGTAGCCGAACTACTTTCCGCTGTCCAGCACCACGCTACGGAGACTTTAGGCGGGTAAATTGAGTTCACTATCATCTGTACAGTATTATATATAAATTAGGTACTGTACATATAATTATATATTAATTATATATAAATTAGGTACTGTATATATAATTGTATATTAACTTAATTTATTGTAACTTTATTATAATTATATATATACTTTCCATCGTCCAGCGCCACACTACGGAGAGTTTAGGCGAGTAAGTTGAGTTTACTGTTCGTCTGTACAGTATGTAAATTAGGTACTGTAAGTCTACTACAGCACTAATTTTATACATTTCTTGTGAAAGAAACATTTGTTATTCAATGGCCATAAAAATTATTTATATTAATGATGTCTCCAAAGTTCAACGAAGTTTTTGCAGAAAAATAACTTATCAGAAATCGCAGCCGCCATTTGGTGCACTGTTCCGCGACAAAAACAAGCTTAAGCAATGGCGACGTCAAACAGTGCACACTCGGTAAGTAATCCTACAATTTTTTGTTTATATCATAGTTTATACAGATTATTCCCAAAAAAATATACGTATTTTGGAAATGTTGAGTCGAATTAGTCTAGGAATCGATTAATTTTATGGAAGAAAACCTTTCAAACAGCTGTAGTCTGTAAAGTGCATACGTGCCGGGTAGGAATTGCAATTGCTGGATCCCTCATCCAGCTGGATCCAACACATTTTTCAGCCGGTTGGATCCAGCACCAGGTGCTGGATCCAGCGCTGCGGATCCGCAAATACTCAATTAACTTTCTAAATAATGGCGCAAAAGTCTACGTTGTTGACCTTGCCGCTTTGCTACATGGCGCTATCGCTTGGTGGTGAGAGCGACATTGCCGTTCAGTGCGGCACGTACTATACCCCCTCTCTACACCACACCGCCCGCCCTTTTACCTCTGTGCACACTCGGTAAGTAATCCTACAATTTTTTGTTTATATCATAGTTTATACAGATTATTCCCAAAAAAATATATGTATTTTGGAAATGTTGACTTGCCAGTTGACTTTCTGCTTTTGCTAAATAAAGTGTCTTTTCACTAAATAAAATAAGTAACTCCTATCCTAGTCCTGGTGCATAATTCTAATTTATGGTTGATTGTGACGTCAATGAACCATGTGACGGAATGATTGCAGTTTAAACTGGCCGTAGAAGCTTTCTGCAGAAGAGTCGAATTTCATAACTGCTGACACAACCCTGAAATTTGTCTTAGACAAACTAAAAAGGCAGGACACAATCTTGAGTGCCAACCTTTCCGAGGCACTCCACAAAAGAATCGGAAAACAGCGTCTTACCGAGGTCATAGGGATGCTGATTTACATACAGAACCCGAAGAAGTATGACCAAAAAGTTAGAAAGCCTTATATTTCACATGCCGAAAAAAATGTAATGCGCCAGATGAAAAATATGCTGAATCGTGTAAATACATATGTAGTGGAACCAGCTGCAATGGTAGAGGATATTAAGGAGGTGGAAAACAATGATCCAGATAATCCAGATTTCCTGAATTTCACATTGGAATTAAGAATTAGAGATTCAACTAAAGCGTGAGAAAGAAAACTTCATGAAATGGAAAGAAACTAGTACTGTGAAGGATTATGATAAGTTATTAAAAAAGGAAATGGCTGTTTATGAAAGTGGGGGAGTCAGAGCTGAAAACTTATCTTTGATTTATCATTATTTGATGACACTGAAACCAACTAGTTTAGAGGCAGAAAAGGCCTTATATAGGGAGTGATATACATGCAGTTCATTAAGAAGTAGGTTGGGAGACAACACCATCAATACCATTTGTTTCTTGAGATCCTACTTTTAGAAAAGTCAAAAAAAATAACAGAAGTGACTGATTTAATTTTATTTAATCCTTTAAAATACGTTATTCAAGACATGACTAATATTATATAACTTCTACTCTAATTCTATTAAGTAAGAGTTTTTATCTTTTATTCTATAAGTGGTTAGTGGGCTAAGCTAGGCAATTTTATTGTGAAAATTAGTGAGAAACTGAGACTACCTAGTTAATTAAATTAATGAGTATCAGTATCTTAGATATACTGTATGATGATATGAATGTACGTGATTCATGATCGTGATAATAATAACTAACTACTAGACTACTACTAATTACTTACTCACTACTTTATTAACACTAATAATTAAATTATTTATAAGTAACTACAGACTGATATGTAGAGCCTATATAAGAAAACTGGTAAGACTGGTAGCCACTTAGCCACTGATTATTCGTCCTTACATTATTATAATATAATATATTAATATAAATTAATTAGTAGAATTACCTCTGCTATTATTTAACTTAAAGATTACATTATAATTATAATCTAACTAAACATTTAAAGTTAATTATCTCTATCTCAAGTGTTAAACCGAACCAAAGTTAAGTTTACTACCTAAATGTGTAAGAAGTTTTACTGATTTATAGTGACCAGTCTAAATAATAAAAGTTTCTTAAGTATTTTAAAAAAATGTTTTATTTCTTTAAAAAACCCACAAATTTTGGATAGATAGATAGATAACACTTTATTGAACCAAAAAACATCCACGCATCATTCCAGCTGGATCCGTGCTGGATCCAGCTGGAATGATGTTGGTCCAGCAAAAATCCAGCTGGATTAAAAATACTGCTGGATTGCAATCCCTAGTGCCGGGCTGTGATTGGCAAGGACTCGTACAAAATGGATTCATAAAGAATGGAACATATCTACCGTGTTATAGGGGGTCGACTGTATATCTTATTTTTCCATAATCAAAATATACAAAACTGTGATAAAATGTATGTAAATAATATTTTGAATTATATTTGATATTTAAATAAAAATAAAACTTACTGTTACTGTTGCTAATAATCCTTCAGGCACATTTGCTACAATTATTCCAATTAAAAAAATCACAGCATCTAACCAATGATAACCAAGAATAAATGCAATAAAAAAGAAAGAAATTCCTAAAAACACTGCTACTCCAGTAATTAATTGAATAAAATGAGCTATTTCTCGAGCAATAGGAGTATCTCCCATCTCAAGACCAGAAGCCAAATTCGCAATTCGACCCATTACAGTTCTGTCTCCTGTATAAATGACAACACCACGTCCACAACCTAAAATATTATATATATATCACTTTATTATTATGAATTCAAAATTTATTTTAAATTATTAAAAAGTTTAAAACAGTTATAATAAATTTTATTAATAAAGTGCTACATTACACATCTTAATAATATAAACTGTGTGATATAAAACAATTACTAAATAATAAATTACTGTAAGTTTAAAAATCTGCAAAATATTATAATAATCATTACTATGGTTACAGTTTATAGACAAATATATCTTTTTTTCCATTAATAATATATCATCAAAAATAGAAAAATGTCAATCATTCAGGTCTCTCACAAAAAAGTTTTTATATTAGTGTTAATGTTATTTATATTTAAATAAATTCCATATACATAGACATAATACAAAAATATATGAATAGAATATTTTAATGTAAAATTTATGTCTGTTTATTCACCCAAAGTACTTTGAATTGTGGTATGAGAATGAAATTGCCACTCACTTTTCATTTTCAACAATTAGTTATGATTCATACTTCTGTTGGCTGTTTTCATCATATCCAAATTAGAAAATTTTGATTTACACAGACATGAACTTACAATGGTAATGATACTTTTATGACTTTTTTGATACAGCAGCAAATTCATTGTTTATTTCCAACAAATTTTTTCTAGATTTATTAAATCAAACCTATTTTTTAAAGTAGTGTTACATAAAAACTCTATTAATAGTTCCTTTTCTGAAATACTTAATTCAGAAGTATTATATACTGTCTGAATTCATGAATAAAATTTCAGTAATCACAGAAAATAAATTTGAATTAAAATATTTCTTAAAAGAAAACACAAACTGGATGAAATGCCATAAAAGCAGCAACTAACACCTATAATCTAGTTAAAATAAACACAATTTATTATGAGAACGATAATTTTCAACTGTTTTTAACAGCCATCTTCAAGTTATGGAATATTACATAAAATAAAATTCAAAAACAAAATTTAAATAAAACAGAACTTGTTAAACTCATTAAATATGCACTGATGATTGCATGCATAAATGAAAGTTGAAGAAAAATAAATTGAAATAAAAATAAAATACAAAACAATATAACAGGCTAAATAANTAAATAAATTCCATATACATAGACATAATACAAAAATATATGAATAGAATATTTTAATGTAAAATTTATGTCTGTTTATTCACCCAAAGTACTTTGAATTGTGGTATGAGAATGAAATTGCCACTCACTTTTCATTTTCAACAATTAGTTATGATTCATACTTCTGTTGGCTGTTTTCATCATATCCAAATTAGAAAATTTTGATTTACACAGACATGAACTTACAATGGTAATGATACTTTTATGACTTTTTTGATACAGCAGCAAATTCATTGTTTATTTCCAACAAATTTTTTCTAGATTTATTAAATCAAACCTATTTTTTAAAGTAGTGTTACATAAAAACTCTATTAATAGTTCCTTTTCTGAAATACTTAATTCAGAAGTATTATATACTGTCTGAATTCATGAATAAAATTTCAGTAATCACAGAAAATAAATTTGAATTAAAATATTTCTTAAAAGAAAACACAAACTGGATGAAATGCCATAAAAGCAGCAACTAACACCTATAATCTAGTTAAAATAAACACAATTTATTATGAGAACGATAATTTTCAACTGTTTTTAACAGCCATCTTCAAGTTATGGAATATTACATAAAATAAAATTCAAAAACAAAATTTAAATAAAACAGAACTTGTTAAACTCATTAAATATGCACTGATGATTGCATGCATAAATGAAAGTTGAAGAAAAATAAATTGAAATAAAAATAAAATACAAAACAATATAACAGGCTAAATAAAGTATAAGTATAAATAAAATTACAAATATAAAAAGATAAATCAAAATAAAACCCCATCAATGTACCATGAGAATCTCCAATTTTCTTTTGAACAAGGACATAACCAATGATTTCTTTAAGATATCTAAGTATTCTTTTAGGACAATTCTAATGTTCCAAACTATAACATGAGCTGAACTAACTGAGAATACTTGTGTTCCAGGCAATATCTAGTTTGTTACACACTGCCAAATACATTAAGCATGCTATAATGTGCGACCTGCATCACACAAAATATTTTTAAAAATATATAAAATAAAATAAAAATAAAAATTTAAGTTACCAACTTTGAGTGGTCTTGTAGTCATACTAAATACCCACAACCTGCTTTGTACATGTCAAGTAGTTTAATCTGACTTCACTCAACACTTCGTATAGAGCTATAAAGTTTTAAAAATGTTTTCTATCGTTGCATTTAGTTTTTTGGTTTCTTTGCAAATTATACACTACTAGCTTACCCGTCGCGCATTGCTGCGATCTCAGAAGAAACAAAATTCAAGCAAACTCGTTATGATAAAATTCAATTTACATTTTATTATTTTTATTGAAACTTATTATTATTATATTATTATTAATTTTCATCGGAAAACATTTCAAAGTGTCATTTCAATTCTATTTATTTATTGGAGTGTTTGTGGATACACGATATTTTTTGTTTTTCCATCTGGTGCGTACACGAATAAATCGGATGGTTTTCCGACGCTTGAGCCGGCCACATACAGTTGTCCATGCGAGAAGCACGGATTCTCCAAATTTAGCCCACACACTCGCAGCGATTGTCAGAAGTGCGATATTCCCCCATTTATATATATATATATTTTTTAATTCTTTATAATTTTAATTATTTAATTCCTCCTTCCTCAGCATGTTGTGAAATTTCTGATAGTTGGATAATAAACCGTTTTATTGTAATTCGTCTTTTTAAATTATTTTGAGTCGATATTAAAATTTGGAAAAGGGAGGGATACCTAGATTGGTAAAATACGCGAATTTCTTCCTACAACTTCGGTTGTTGTTCGGGATACAGTTAAGGTTTTAACAAAGTTCAAGCGAATACATAATTAGCAAAAAAAGTTGAAATAAAGTGATTAAACAAACATTATTACAAATATCGTAAATAACAAATGCATATATAGAGATATTTTTGGAGGGGGGAAATGGTCTTCACAATTTGAAATCGATCAAACACACAGTGTTGAATGCTCATGTAAACGTGCGCCATCTATCGTAGGATAAATGTACTTCACAAGAATGTATTAAAAAACTTTCCAAAGTTTCATGGCAATCGTACTATGCCACAAACCTTTCCCGGAGTATATTAAACAACTTCCCAAAGTTTCACGGCAATCGGATAAACGGTGTGGTAATGCATGAAGGAGAGACAGACACACACACACAGATTCATTTTTATATATATAGATTAATCTATATTTTTGATACTATCCTTAGCCAAAAAATAAAGAAGGGATTTTTTACAATACCTTTTCCTGTAAATATAGAAAATATACCAAATAAACTTCAATTGGAGATAATAGACTTGCAAAGTAATTTTGATTTGAAAGTTACATTTGAAGAAAAAATTTGATAGATTTTTATAAAATTTTTATCAAAGAAAATCAATTTCCCAACTTAAGGAAATATGCAGCAAAAATTCTTTTGTTATTTTGTACAACTTATGTTGTACAAAATAACAAAATGAGCCATTTCTCAAGCAATAGGAGTATCTCCCATCACCAGGGCTGTATTCAGTACACTAAGTCAGAATTCTGAGCAGCTTACTGGGCAGAGCTAAGAATATTCTGAGCATTATTGAACGATCTTTTGCTAGACAACTAGGAAAACTGGTGGACAAAGTTAAAATTAAATAAAAATAAATATAACAAACAATTAAAATTAAAATAGTAATTTCATCTTTAAAAATGAAGTTACAGTAGAGCATCGATTATCCGAATCAATTGGGGACTGGGGTTGTTCGGAAAATCGATATTTCGGATAACCGATTATGTACAAAAAAATATATTAACCTATCGCATGTTGAAATTTTTCTCCGTTGCGTGTCGCTTTGCGTTGAATTTTCATCAATGTTAAGCCTAACGAAGACTATTGTATCATTAAAAATTATTTTTTTATTTTGTACAAACAAAATAAATATATTGAAAAATATAAAAACAATAAAAAATTATACTTCAGAAGTTAATTTAGTATCAAAAATATTTGAGTAGCCCAAGACACAGCCAAAGATTGCAGCGTCACAGCACTGGCAAAAATTTTAATTTGCCGATTGGAATTCTTTTGGATAATTGACGTTTCAGATAATTGACTTTCGGATAATCGACGCTCTATTGTATTTAATCCAACATGAGCAGACACTACAGTCGTAAGCATAAAATTCTTCAAATAAAAAATAAAGAGAAATGGAGTGACGTCACTATGCACAGTAAGTCTACTAAAAACAGTCTGAGTAAATGAGTAAGAATTCTTACAATGGACAGAGTCAGAATTACTAAGAATATCATTCAGTATTGTGGCATAGCTTGACTAAGTCAGAATTCTGCATTATTGAACATGGACCAGTTTTTCCCCCACAATGAATTTAGTAAAAAATAAAACAACAAATTAGATAGCAGATTTGCATCTCAAAAATAATTTAAAATAACAGTGACATATTCAGCCAAATATTTTGGCTATATTACATTTACATCAGTTCCAGAAATCACATTAAATAAACTTATGTTAATTTGTAATCATATATGAGTAAATAATAGTAATTTATCCACATTTTCCTTTCTTTTTCTCATGTGTAGCCTGTGTCAATTTGAAAGTTTTAAATGTGGCTCTTATGTAAAAAAAGGTTTCCCATCCCTGTTGTAAAGTATTGATAAAGAATATTCACTTCACTATAAATAGAATCTAGTTTATTTTCTTTCTTGTATCAAGGGATTTCCCATTATTTTGCACTCTGATCATGTTAAAATTTAGCCAAAATATCTTTAATATATTTTCTATAATCATACATGTCTCTCTGCATTTTCTAATTATTTTCATTCCTTGTACATACTTGACTGAACTTAAGTCCTTCATTTCAAATTTATTCATGTGTGGTGTTACAACACCATTTTGATTTTTTTTTTTGTAATGGTTTGTCCATGATAGGGGGATTTACCATTACCTTTTGTTGAGAGGTACTTAAGATGTTCCCGTTGTTTCTTACTATTCTTTTGTGTGATTCACCAGGAGAGAGTGAAAGAGGACAAGCAGAAGGAATAAAGTTCTACACAGTTCACAAAAGTGAACTGTGTAGAACTTTATTTTTATTCATTTACATCCAAGTTTTGGGAGACTCTTCTGAATGAACTATCTCAGGATTTTGCTATTATTTGGATTCAACAAGGTAAAATAGTTAGTATTTTTGTGCTAAAAAACTAAAGCGGAAAAGTTTTGTAATTTGAACTTCGTGCACTTAATATTGTAGCCCTTTATTTTTTTAGTAGAAATTAAATCAGATTCCTTAAGTTTGGTACTACCGGGAATTACATGAGTTCTGTTTCAACTTTAGTTCTTCTTGTTTATCATTAATGAACACTGAAAAATAATCAACATAGTGTAAACAATAAGTATATTTTTAATTTCAAACATGAAACATTTCATACAAGGATCACTTTTAGATGATTTGAAATGTAATCCTTTAAGTGTTTGATCAAATTTTCCATACCAAGTGCTAGAAACTTGCTTTAAACCATAAATTGTCTTTTTAAGAAAACACATCTTATTTTCTTAACTTCTTTTATTTTAAAGTATTCAGGCTGTTGCCATGAACTACGGTGGTGTGTCATGACATTTGATGATAGGGAAGCTGTGTTTCTGTAAGAAGCCGACATCCAGGCGCCGCAATCAATCAATTGCATGTCAGTGATGGTCTAGGGCAGGGGTGGCCAACAGTTTTTGTCCCGGGCCGAATTGGAAAGAAAACTTTTTCCGCGGGCCGAACCAAAGGCTGCCATAGGAAGATTTTGAGGTGGTGCGAGATCTCATTGTGGTGTCACCCCGTACAGACTAAATTGTAGATAGAGATTATAGATACATTTTTCACATTATCATGCTTTATCAAACACGTACACTGAACCAATATAATGTGTGGTACGAACGACGAAACGAAAAACAAACGTTTTCGAACCTCTTCTAGGTTCTTCCTCAGGTTCCTTTAGCTTTTTAGCTCGTAAATTCGATATTTCAAATAACTTCGTTCTTGCGATCGAACAGTTCTTTTTTAAAAGATGTGTCGCGCATGCCGTTCAAACTAACGACTGCCGTCAACGAAAGACATTAACGAATGTTGTTTAAATAATTTCTTTCTTAAGATCGAACATTTCTTTTAAATTATCCGTCACGCATGCGTGACATGTCCGCTTGCTCGGAAATAACGTGCAGTTAAAGCGTGTTATGTATCAACTCTTGCCAGGCCATCGACAAGATCATCTCCTCTTTAAAATTTATGCACGTGTTTTCGATAGAGGATTTAAAGATGTGCATCGCCTCTAACCACTTGAGATGTTCATTGAGAGGTGCACTGAGGAGGAGATTGGTCCTATTAAAGTCAGCAACTATGCCCGGGTCTGTTGCGTATGTAGCGAGGGCCGTACTGGTTCTCCCGTGACAAATGTCTGCCTTATGCTCCTGTATTCTGACACCTATGGATCTTTTAGTAGAGCCTATATATATTAAGTCCCTGTCGAATCTGTTATCTCTCAAAGGGACACTATAGACCCCCGGTCTTCTGCTGGGGTTAGGAGGGTCCTTCCCATTCCTTAGGATGTTAAAAATAGTAGGGCACCTTCTGTAAGCAATACTGATTTGGCACTTCTTGGCGATCTTGTCATATATAGATCTTACATATGGGTTGAAGGTAACGGGTATACGTTCCATGTCTTCCGGAACTTCCTTTCTATCAATGCGCCAGTCTACCAGTCTTTTTTTACATGCTTTATCAACATTCTATGCTGTACTTACGAGATTTGTAATAGTTAACTTTTTTCTTTTTTTTTTTTTTAGGCGTCGGAATTTTTCATTGAGCTATTCGGACTTGAGTAGCTAATATTGAAAGATTGATTGCGGGCCATTCATTAGATGGGCCGTATGTTGTCCATGCCTGGTCTAGGGTCCATTTGGATCCTATCATATCGAATAATCGATACAATAGGATCCGAATTATTCGATACGATAGGATCATATTGTATTGATTATTCGATAAGCCAGTAAAAACTGTAGACTTCTCTAAATGCATTTTTAATATCACAATTACATTCCGAATCGCTAGCCACAATATAAGGGCTACAATTAAAAATAAAATGATAAAATCTTACTTGGTGAAATAAAATGTGTGGTGGATATACAGTACATACTTGGTACAAAATATTCTTCAATTATATGAATATACTTTTAAAGAAAATTATAATTAAATATAGCTTTGTAAAGAAACGTAGTCTATATAAAAATATAAAATATTCTTTACTTTTTAAATCTTAAAACAATGCACTTAGTCAAATAGCTCCCTATGAGTGGCTAATGGCTGGAATCAAAGACGGTTGCAGAGCAGGCATACACACAGACTGCCAAATCCCCAATGTCAAATACCTCTTTTGTCGCATCACTAGTATACTTCAAACGACTCGACAGGCTGTTGTAGATTTTAAATGTTTCTCACCATAGTTGTAAAATTCTAAATATGTTAAACTTAATAGTCATTTGTTTTCTAACTAATTCGTTTTAGGACCAAGTGTCCTCAGAAATTTCCAAAATTTACAACTTTTTGTCACTCTCATCGAACTAGAAAAATTTCTGTCTTTATTACATTAATAATACGAATATGAAATTGCAGTTTTGTCTTGCCATTATATTATTATAGAAATATCTAAGAAATCAGTCTCCGCTGTACTCGGTTAGAGATGGTTCGGTTAAGCTTTTGTTTAAGTAAAATTTTGGCTTTTTCATCAGAATTTTGTTTATGTCCCCAATTCCCTAATCGCTTAATTATTTAACTACTTCTTAAGTAGAAATAAGTCAAAACTGGTTACTTTGTACTCGAATATTTGTAGTCTCGGGAAAAAATTGGAAAGAAATTTTTATGACAAACAGATACATAAATCATAAATTTAAGGAAAATCAATTCTAGAGCTTTTTCTGTACCTTGTGCATCTCTCTCATTCATTAAATTTAGTTGTAAATGATGCTACCAAAGTAACAGTTATTTTTTTAACATTGTACAAGAATTGTACACGTTTTCTTCTACATTCCCTTAGAGATGGGATATACGAAATCGTAATATCACTGGTTTAACATTGAAATCCACGAGTAATATAAAATCGGAGAGCAGAATAAAAATATCAAATATTTTAATGGATTTTTTTAAACACCTGTCACTATACAAAACTATCATAAAAACATACCAGTAAATTCTTATTGGTTGGATTAAGTTATAAATCTACTCATGATTCACGTAATCGGGCGAGGGCAGCGAAATATCTAACGGGCAGGTGGCTAATAGCCCAGAACCGGTCGTGAATAGAATTGGATGCAGTATACATGTAGCATCCACCCAAGGTCCTACACTTCCACCAACTAAACTGGGTGAGGTTGGTGCTCTGTAAAGCTCATGCGCGAATCTGGCATTTTGAATGCTGACAATACAGCGCTTCCACTCCGCCACTAATATTCGAATATACAATAGCAATCTTATCTTTTTTTTCACGTGTAGTATAGAAATTTGTAATAAGATACATAATGTGGTTATAATAAAATATTGTGCAATTATTTTCATATAAGTAAAATTAATATGTATTTATTTTTTAGAAAATACAAGGGAAGCGGTGCATCCACTGCTTCCAATGACAGCACGCCACTGATAAACTATTTTAGTTAGTTCATAATTCAGGAAAGCTATAACTAAAGTAATATCAACAAAAAAACTACAATTTTTACCTAATGCCTGCATGTTTTGCTTTTAATTATCAGATTCTTAATAACTGTAGTTTCATATAAGATAGCCTAGATCTGCAAAAGATCTTAAATATACAAAAAATTACTTTTCCAACAAATATATATATAATTACATCTGGAACTTAATACTATTTAAGTTGAGTTGAAACAAAAAACTTTTATTTTTAGATTTCTATGCAAAACTTTGGACTACTGTTATAATTATGATTATCAGTATAAAAGTATATTATATACTTATATCAGTATAAAAGTACATTATCCATTTATATCAGTATAAAATATTTTAAAATGTGTAAAATTTTTGAAAAATATTATTAATAAAAATGACTTGATATTATTGTTGAGCTTCAAGATAACAGACTAATAACTTAACTGATGGTCTGAAAACTTAATGCAATTGTCCTTTGTATCTGAAGACATCATAGCCAACTACAAAATGAACTTTGTATGAGATACAACAGAGACAGACAGCTTATACTGTGATAAATATGAGAAAAACAGATGAAGCAGCAAAATACACTACAGCTGTCAATGTATTGCCTAGCTGACATATTTTTCAGTCTGATATATCTATCAGAATGAAAGCTGATAGCCTTGGAATAAGCTGATTGATCTGTTGTTTCTGTTATGTAAAGGTCAGTAAAATTAAGACTCAGAAATACTATATAATAATACATTACCTTCAACACAATTAGTAGAGAAAAAGGCTAGATTTCTAGTTTCTAATGGATTTTCATTTGTCATTTCTGGTGAACGTGACTGTGCTTCAGACTCTCCAGTTAGTGATGAATTATCGACTTTGAAACCCTGAGACGATATAACTCTAATATCTGCTGGAATTCTGTCACCTCCTTTAACTTCTACAACATCTCCTAAAACAACACCTTCAGCAGCTATGGTAAGTTTCTGACCTTCTCGAATTACTGTAGCATACTGAAATATAAAATTTTAATTAAATTATTTTTATTGTAAAAATATTCTTTTTAATCTGCTAATATACATAAAATATACCATAAATCCTTAATATTTACAATTCCATTAATCATTCATTTCATTAATATCTCTTTAATGCAATAATTGAAACAAAAAATTAAGACTAATCAACTCAGTACTCAATAAATGCAAATCTTTTTAGTTAATATTAATCTAATATATAATCGAGACGGAATGATAATGATAATAATAATAATTATAAAACAATTTACCACAACAGACCAGACATCACATTCATTGACAAACACAATAAAACCACATACATTATAGACATAGCCATTCCAAACACTCACAATGTACAAAACACATGCACTGAAAAAATTAGCAAGTACACAGAACTCGCCCAGGAAATAAGACATCTGTGGAGGATGGATAGGGAAGTTATTGCACCTGTTGTTCTCTCCTGTACAGGTGTGATACTGTGGCTACATGCCTATTTATTTAACTGTATAGTTTTAGTTTAATTTAAGTTCTAGAATTTTCCTTCCTTCCAATTTCTTTGTTCCTTTGTCTCGGACTTCGGAGAACTCGCCTCACCCCTAACCCATCAGGAGGTAGGGTTAGAACAATAGACGGCAACAAGGCTGGAGGGGAAAAAGGAGAGATTCGAGAATTATTCTTGGGCCGGACTACGAGAGAGAAGGACGAGCGCAGCAGACTCCGAAACGGAAAGTCAGGAAGCGCTGCAGACGGAGGCCATAAGAATCGGATTGGCAGAAGAATCCGAGCGTTGATTATAGAAAAGGAAACCCCGAAACGGACCCGAATCGTTCTAAAAGGAGAACAGCTGTAGAAAGAAGCCGAGACGAGGAACAGTGGAGAATCAACAGAAAAATTGGGTACCCTCTGTCCTTTAATTCTTCTTATTTCCCCTTTCTATCTTTTCTATCTCTTAGTTTAATTTAGTATTAAGTTAGTTGTAGTTTACGAGCACAAATAAATTGTCAGGAGGTAGTTACCGAGAAAGAAACTACCGGTCTATTGGTACATCTGATTGATCGAGATTTTGGAAACGTGTGTAGGTAAACAGTGGGAATCCGAACTTATTCTGTATATATATTAATGTTAGCGCGAAATTAAACTTGTTTAATTAGTAAAACGTGTCTGTGTTTTCCTGTCCGCGCTGTCATTTTCACAATACCACACACACTACACAAAAGCCTGGAAACATTAGAATTGAGTAGAAATACATACATAACACTACAGAAGGCCACTATATTGAATACATGCCACATTGTTAGGAAATTCCTGAATACAGACACTGACACACTTATTTAATTTTAGTTTTGTTTTGGTTGCTATGCACAGCCACCAGTGTGAACTGAGTAAAACCCACTAAACCCAACATAATAATTATAATAATAATAATAACTCTCCCGTGGTCACCACCTGGTCAAGGTGGGAGAGCCCAGTAATTTTACTGAGCCATAGAGCAATGCAGGCTGGAGCACAAGCTCCTGGCAGGGATACCCATGCCAGTAAGGTCTATGGGGAGAAATGAAGCTAAGAGTGACCACACACCAACATTCTGTGGAGATATTTATCATGGTAGTAAACAGATCTAAGTACGATACCGGCTCAGACGTCGCCTGGGTTAACAAGGTCCATGTTCGTGGGTTAGGCAGATGCTCAGGTTCGAAAAATAGGCTCCAGTCTCCCTTGGTTACTGGTGGTGAAAGCAGCGCCGGCCTAAGCATGGCTACTGCAATGCCCTCAACAGATGTGAGGAATCAACCTAGCCTTGGTGTTTCTGTGGCAATGCATCCGCAGACCACAAAGGCTGGAAAACCACGCCAACGGATGAAATGGACAACAGAAATGAACGAGTTTATCATCCGCACTTACTACACCATCACAAGACTCGAAACAAACATGACAGCATACAGACAACAACTACACCACATATTCACACAACAATATCCTCACCTCACTGTCACTGAACAAAGGGTTGTTGATCAAAAAAGAACAATTATACACAACAACCTTATCCCACAAACAACACTTGAACTTATCAAACAACAGGTTGCTGATCAAATACATCAACAGACAGAAACATTTAACATTAATGAAGATCACGTAACCTGTCAGGATAATCCAGCAACAAGCATTGATACAGCACACACACAACAACTACCACTAATGATACTGCAGGCACTTCCTCATCCATCACTGATAACATAGACATAGAATTAGTTAATACGCTCTCACTTATATTTCAGGAAACACTCACTAAATATACAGGTACAGATCCACACAAAGACCACTAATACCAAAAATCAACACGTCAAATGTAGTAGGAAAAACACTAAATTATGTAAACACTCACTTACTACCAAACTACATTCATTCAATTTCTACACTCTCAGACATTCATACATTAGTTTATGCTGGGCAGTCACAGTAGTAACACACCATGGACTGAAAATACAATCGCAGACAAACACACACAAAACACAATTCTATCACAAGCCTGCCTGGCAGAGAAGAATAGAAACACAAATAAATGACATTAGACAGCAACTAGGCAGGCTGACATAATACACTAAAAACAACATAACACCCAAATTAATGAAACAACTCAAACACATTTTCAAGAAAATCAAAACACACACATTACAGAATACATTGATACACTAAAACAAAAACTCGCACCCAAAGCACGTAGACTCAAATGATACAAAACATGTACACTATGAAAACAACAAAATAAATTATTCACAAACAATGAAAAACTTTTCTACAGACAAATCAGTACCAAAACAAACACTGATACACAGCACAGTGGCACACCAACAGAAGAACTCACAACTTATTGGGCTTCTCTTTGGTCCAATGCTGTTACACACAATGCTGATGCAGGCTGGATCGAGGAGGAGAACAGAAACTTGCACAACATACCAACTATGCCCTGTGCTGAAAAAAACAAACACGACATTCGCTACGCTGTTAACAGAACACACAACTGGACGACACCTGGTGTAGACAACATTCACAATTTCTGGTACAGAAAGTTTACATCACTGCACCAGGAACCAGCTAAACATCTAACACATGTCATCATCAATCCACAAGACATGCCAAAATTTCTTACTCATGACATCACCTACATGAAACCTAAAAATAACAAACACCACAGACCCCACACAATACAGACCAATTACATGTCTTCCAACACTCTACAAATTATTGACATCCTGTATCACAAACAAAATATACAAACATGTGAAGAACAACATTCTTACAGAACAACAAAAAGGTTGCCGTAGAAATCACAGGGGATGCAAAGAACAGTTACTCATAGATTCAGTCATTCTACGGCAAGCACACCAACAACACAGAAACATACACATGGCATATATAGACTACAGAAAAGCATTCGACAGTATTCCGCATAGTTGGCTGCTATATATTCTACACATGTACAAAATACATCCATCACTCATTGCATTCTTACAAAACACTATGAAGCACTGGAGAACAACACTACATCTCAGGAATAGTAACACTTCCATACAAACAAACGAAATATTCATTAGGCAAGGAATTTTTCAAGGAGATTCCTTGAGTCCTCTCTGGTTCTGCCTAGCCCTGAATCCATTATCCAACATGTTAAACAACACGCAATACGGCTACAATATCAGACACGAAAAAACAACACAGTTTACACTCTCACATCTCATGTACATGGACGACATAAAACTTTATGCATCCACACAAAAACAACTTCATCAACTCCTACAAATCACACATTCATACACTAAGGACATACAAATGGAGTTTGGCCTAGACAAATGCAAAAAACTTCACATAGAAAAAGGAATCCTGAAGAAAGAAGATTTTGCACTTGGAAATGGAGACGTTATTGAATCCATGGAAGAGGGCGAGTTCTACAAGTACTTAGGATTCCAACAGGCCAAACTAACAGAACATACACAAATAAAGCAACGATTAATTAAAGAATACCAAAGTAGGTTAAACGCTATACTTAGAACACAGTTAAATGCAAAACACACAGTTAAAGCAATAAACACATATGTCATCCCAGTACTCACATACTCTTTTGGAGTTATACATTGGACTCACACAGATCTCGAGCAACTCCAAAGGAAAACAAGAACAACACTTACTAAGCATAAACAACATCATCCTAAATCCGCCACAGAAAGATTAACCCTTCCACGTAAAGAAGGCGGACGTGGCCTGATTGACATAGTTAACCTTCACTACAAACAAATACAGTCACTGCGAGAGTTTTTCTACAAGAAACAAGAAACATCACAGTTACATAAAGCAGTAACTCTAGCAGACTCAAATAACACACCATTAAACTTACACTCACAACATACAGACATGACACAACATATAAAAAGCATAGACAACATTAAGCAATCATGGGCTCAAAAGGCTCTCCATGGCAGGCATCCTTACGACCTGGCCCAGGATTTTGTTGACAAAACTGCGTCAAACAGCTGGTTAGATCGGGGATGCCTCTTTGGGGAGACGGAAGGATTCATGATTGCCATACAGGATCAGGTCATAAATACTAAAAACTACAGAAAACACATACTCAAAGATACAACACTCACAAATGACACATGCAGAAAATGTCACATCATGCCAGAAACTATACAACACATCACTTCTGGTTGCAAGCTCTTGGCACAGACAGATTACTTACATAGACACAATCAAGTAGCAAATATAATACACCAAGAGCTTGCAAAGAAACACAAATTGGCAGACATCCACGAACCATACTACAAGTATATTCCACAGACAGTATTGGAAAACAACACGCACAAAATGTACTACGACAGAGCCATAATCACAGATAAAACAATTTACCACAACAGACCAGACATCACACTCATTGACAAACACAATAAAATCACATACATTATAGACATAGCCATTCCAAACACTCACAATGTACAAAACAC